ATAAAGTTAATAAGTCCGTGAATAACTGCATTACAGATTTCGAACAGAGATGGTGACAAAGAGGAAAAAACTGAGGACTGCAGCTTTAATTAAAGGCGTAATGTATGTCCGTAGACCATTCCGTTGCATAATGATTGTTTAAAGCTGTATCAATATGTCAGAAATTGTATGTGCAGTCAAATGTTCAGGACTGGTGTGTGTATGGTGTTTAAATGAGTGTACTAACCAATACACTTGTTGTGTTTTGCATAGTTTTGACGAGTTTAGATGTTTCTTATTTTAGAAGTTTCTTATTCAAAAGTGGTTTCTGTCTTTCTGTTTCTTTCTGTCTGACTGACATCAAAAGAGAAGTAATGTGGTTCAGATTAAAGCATTTAAAGATCCAGTCATAAACGTTCATAAAAGTTCCAGTGTCTTACCTGAACGAGCACCTGTCCAGCACTTAGCAGTAGCTGTTGGCCAGGGTCTCCAGGCTGGGAGCCGTACTGCAGGATAGTGGCCCCGGGCTGGGGTGTGGCAGGGCTGGGAAGAGTCAGAGCCTGAACCCCTTGCAAGGCCTCTCCTCCAGGGCCGGTCAGCTGTATCGCTCCACCCTGAGTGAATGCTACTGCAAAGACACAAAACAAAAATACAGTTTATCTTTACTTTCCCAAACACTTGCTATGACAAATCCCAAGTGGGTAACACTAAACCAATACATCACCATACACCATAATCAGTCAGTGTCTTGGTAATGACAACTTGACATAAACCAATACACCATAACCTGTCTGTGTCTTGGTAATGACAACTTGACATAAACCAATACACCATAACCCGTCAGTGTCTTGGTAATGACAACTTGACATAAACCAATACAACATAACCCGTCAGTGTCTTGGTAATGACAACTTGACATAAAGCAATACACCATAACCCATCTGTGTCTTGGTAATGACAACTTGACATAAACCAATACACCATAACCCGTCAGTGTCTTGGTAATGACAACTTGACATAAACCAATACACCATAACCTGTCAGTGTCTTGGTAATGACAACTTGACATAAACCAATACAACATAACCCGTCAGTGTCTTGGTAATGACAACTTGACATAAACCAATACAACATAACCCGTCAGTGTCTTGGTAATGACAACTTGACATAAAGCAATACACCATAACCCATCTGTGTCTTGGTAATGACAACTTGACATAAACCAATACACCATAACCCGTCAGTGTCTTGGTAATGACAACTTGACATAAACCAATACACCATAACCTGTCAGTGTCTTGGTAATGACAACTTGACATAAACCAATACAACATAACCCGTCAGTGTCTTGGTAATGACAACTTGACATAAACCAATACAACATAACCCGTCAGTGTCTTGGTAATGACAACTTGACATAAAGCAATACACCATAACCCATCTGTGTCTTGGTAATGACAACTTGACATAAAGCAATGCACCATAACCCGTCAGTGTCTTGGTAATGACAACTTGACATAAACCAATACAACATAACCCGTCAGTGTCTTGGTAATGACAACTTGACATAAAGCAATACACCATAACCCATCTGTGTCTTGGTAATGACAACTTGACATAAACCAATACACCATAACCCGTCAGTGTCTTGGTAATGACAACTTGACATAAACCAATACACCATAACCTGTCAGTGTCTTGGTAATGACAACTTGACATAAACCAATACAACATAACCCGTCAGTGTCTTGGTAATGACAACTTGACATAAACCAATACAACATAACCCGTCAGTGTCTTGGTAATGACAACTTGACATAAAGCAATACACCATAACCCATCTGTGTCTTGGTAATGACAACTTGACATAAACCAATACACCATAACCCGTCAGTGTCTTGGTAATGACAACTTGACATAAACCAATACACCATAACCTGTCAGTGTCTTGGTAATGACAACTTGACATAAACCAATACAACATAACCCGTCAGTGTCTTGGTAATGACAACTTGACATAAACCAATACAACATAACCCGTCAGTGTCTTGGTAATGACAACTTGACATAAAGCAATACACCATAACCCATCTGTGTCTTGGTAATGACAACTTGACATAAAGCAATACACCATAACCCGTCAGTGTCTTGGTAATGACAACTTGACATAAACCAATACACCATAACCTGTCAGTGTCTTGGTAATGACAACTTGACATAAAGCAATACACCATAACCCGTCAGTGTCTTGGTAATGACAACTTGACATAAACCAATACACCATAACCCGTCAGTGTCTTGGTAATGACAACTTGACATAAAGCAATACACCATAACCCGTCAGTGTCTTGGTAATGACAACTTGACATAAACCAATACACCATAACCCGTCAGTGTCTTGGTAATGACAACTTGACATACTGTAAACCAATACACCATAACCCGTCAGTGTCTTGGTAATGACAACTTGACATACTGTAAACCAATACACCATAACCCGTCAGTGTCTTGGTAATGACAACTTTACATACTGTAAACCAATACACCATAACCTGTCAGTGTCTTGGTAATGAAAACTTGACATAAACCAATACACCATAACCCGTCAGTGTCTTGGTAATGACAACTTGACATACTGTAAACCAATACACCATAACCCGTCAGTGTCTTGGTAATGACAACTTGACATACTGTAAACCAATACACCATAACCCGTCAGTGTCTTGGTAATGACAACTTTACATACTGTAAACCAATACACCATAACCTGTCAGTGTCTTGGTAATGAAAACTTGACATAAACCAATACACCATAACCCATCAGTGTCTTGGTAATGACAACTTGACATAAACCAATACACCATAACCCATCAGTGTCTTGGTAATGACAACTTGACATTTGGAAGACATTTAAATTTGGGCAATATTTGTGCAATATCTAACGTGCTGTTTTGTAAGAAAGGGCTGATGAACAACAAAACCCTTTAATTTTAAGGGTAATAATAACTTAAATTCACACGTCATGCCGCATAATGAGATAATTATTTGAGCAATGAACTCAGACGTACTGTATTGCCCAGAGCTGGTCTGGTAGACTGAAGATGGTGCCGTCACCGTAGCAACACTAGAGGTGGGCGGGGCTTCTTCCTCAACTCTCTCCTCTTCCTCGATCTTTGGCACAGCAGGTACATCTGATGACAACTCATTAAGAATTTTCCTGAAAATACATTTAAATTAAAACATCTTTATCTGACAATGCAGATATCAGTTTCGGTCACAAATAAATAATATCAAGTTTAGAGATATCTGATTGGTTCAGTGTGTTAACTGAACTTATACTATTATAAACAATTTTTAGGTAATTCAAATTAGTTGAAAAAATCTATTATAAATAGATGAAACATTTTGACCTAACAAAAAATGTAAATTAAAATCAGAAATGTTGCCTTTTCGTTAGTAACTGAAATTCGACAATTCTTGAAATAGTAATAGTTTTAGCATGTTATTGAATATGATAATGTAATAAAAATGAATTAATTTTAATTATTTTTTAAAGTGAATAAAAATGACACAAGCACGTTAAAATGACTAAAACTTAAACTGAAATTAAAACTGAAAATATAAAAGTAAAAGATACTAAAATAGTTTATGAATAATACTAAAACATCTCACCTATATGACGGGCGTCTGGACAGAATCTCCCTCCTCTTCTGAGAATCTGATGGAGTTGTACCCGGACCGGCAGTATCAGAAGCTACCTAAAAACATTCAAACACACATATGTCCTCGCCTTAATGCCAAATTAGCCTTCCTAACGCAAATCATTAGTATTAGCTCAGCAGTCATACAGACTATATAGAACGCTTTATTATCATTTTACAGCTTCACTGAATGAAAAAAGAGGATATTCTTTCAAAATCCATTTTTAGTGCTTGATCAAATATGTATTTTACATGTGTGTCACTATTACAATTGTGCCAAGTGACCATGAGTCTTCTATCTTCTCCTGAGCAGATTTGTTTTGTCTGACGTGGGCTTTGTGTGTGCGTGTGTGTGTGTGTGTGTGTGTGTGACCAAGAAGATCAGTTGCATTGACTCTCACACAAATCTCATTACTGCTCTATACAGCTACTCTCACTCTTCTTGTTACTATGTCAATCTGCTTCTCCTTCATCCCATTGATCCCAGGATGAGTAAATGTCCCCTGTGATTGGCTACAGCTCTAACTGCCTGCAATGTGATTGGTCAGTCTCTCCAGGTGAAGGAACTGGTAAATGAATAACAGGATTGTGCTTGAATTGAGCTCACAGAACAGCACACATTATGGTTTAATAAGTGTGGACTGTGTAGATGGTAACTTTTTCTAAGGCTTATATTTACACCAGCCCTGTTCAAATGTATTACATATAAAAAAACCTGTATGTGTGTACCTGCACAGTTTGTATCTGAGGTGACTGTATAACAGAGGGCTGTGTTGACTGAATGACTCCCTGCACTTGTAGTGGCTGTCCATTAGGTAATGACACCACAGCTACACCTTCGTTCACCTGAGAGAGACAGACAGAGAGGTAAGACATGTCTGAGGCTGTTTAACCCAGTGTTTTGTTCAATTCTATCATTTACTCACCCTCAAGTTGTTCCAAACCTGTGTGAGTTTCTTTCTTCTGTTGAACATAAAAGAGGTAGCCATTGACTTCCATGGTATTTTTTGGTCACACTTTAGATTAGGGTTCAATTCTCATTATTAACTAACTATGACTTGTGCCTCAGTAAACACCTAATGACTGCTTATTAATGATTAGTAAGGTAGTTACATTAAGTTTAGGTATTGGGTAGGATTAAGGGATGTAGAATATGGTCATGCAGAATTAGGCATTGATATATGCTTTATAAGTACTAATAATCAGCCAATATCTTAGTAATATTCATGCTTATAAGCAACTAGTTAACAGTGAGAATTGGACCCTAAACTAAAGTGTTACCTATTTTTTTTTTCTTATGGAAGTCATTGACCTACAACTGTTTAATTCTTTAAAATATGTTATTTTGTGTTCAACAGAAAAAACAAACTCACACAGGTTTGGAACAACTTTAGGGTGAGTAATGATGACAGAATTGTCAACTTTGGCGGAACTGTAACTAAAAATATCTTTCACAATTAATTTAATTAAAAGTGAAATTAAATAAAAAATAATAATTAATAATAATAATTAATTAATATTATTATTATTAATAAATAAAAATATAAATATTTGATCAATTCTACGAAAACAACTACCTTAACTACAATAAGCAACTAAGTAAAATAAAATAAGTTTGATTAGAAATACTAAAATTGTAAAAATAAAGCTAAATAAAAACATAAAAAGTGTGTTTAATGTGCAAAAGCACATAAAAAATCTAAACCTCAAACTAAAATTAAAACAAACAATATAAAGTTGAGTAATGCAAATATTAATACTTTAATAGTGTATAAATAATACAAAAATAACATATTTTAAATACAATAAAGTCACATTTTGCACAATTTTTGCTCAATATCTTTTTTTTTTTTTTCATTTAATCTGTAAATATTGCTGTCTATCAACACACATCAAGTACCAGGATATTATCATGTTTTTGGACACTATCAAAATAATACCATGTTTTTTTTTTTATGGTAATACCATGTTATTAATATGATGAGGAGAGACTCCTGATATGATAAAGCACTTTGGGAGTACAATAGTACATAATAAAATGGTATATAAATGCTTCATTCATTCACTTTCCCTAGTTTATTCAAACATTCATGTATTTGAGTTCAGTTTGGCTTGATCTTTATATATTAAATGAAACAGGCGTCATATCTGTACCTGTGTGAGTGAGTCAGAATCTGACTGTATCTCACTTGTTATTTTCTGAGTTGCACTGGCTTCCTGTTGCGCTATGGTTGCAGTTTCCATGGTGATCGGCCTAGCAACAGAGCAGAGAGGAAATGCACAGTCAGCGCTCTGAAGAGTCATATGTCACAAGATTTTAAACAGCCCAAATTGCATTTGATTCAATAATCCATCATTTCAGCCAAAGGTTTGGCAATCCAGTGGTCCAAGATTTAAAGCAATACAACTTTTTGGTAGCCTATTAGTGAGTGTTTGTGTTGATATGTTCATGTTTTCATCCTTTCCAAAATCTTGAGAGAAGTGAAAAATGCATGAAAAAAAAAATGGAAAAAAAAAGTTGAGGCGGCAAAAGCTTCAATAATATCTAAAGAACTTGAAGGGAAAACAAATTAAATTCCATTCAACACTGCAAGAATTAAATTGCTGCAGGTAAACATAAAAAAAATAATTAAAATATATATATAAAAAATAATATGTAAAAAATGGCTTATGTAATTTAACAGTAGTTTTTTTTTTTATGGGTAGCCTAATTAAACATTTCACGTCAGGCACACAGGAACGAGCGCGCTCTAACGGCCGCGTGCACTGCACTTCCTTATTGTCTCTGCTTCTTGACAGTGCACACACTTCTAATTATTATACAAAAGCAGACTCGTACAGTTTATGAGGAAATATATTTTACTCGATTGCTTTAGTAGTTTATTGAGATTGCGTCTTCATGTCGATTTATGGCTGTGGTATTATGTCAGCGCTCTCTTAACTTCTGTTTCTTCTGACAGAAACAAACGCGCGCAAACTTTGAACAGCTCGCGCTTATGTAACAGCAAGCGGTGGCACGAGGATATGACACATTTGAAACATTCATGGGCTCGCAAATGAATACAGCAGTAAAGCAACTTGCAAACTTTTTAAGTTTTTTAGGCAAGCTGTGTAGGCTACTGTTATACTGGAACATTCCTGGATCAAGCTGCGTACATTCTCCACAGCCTTATTTAATTTTTAATATAGCCAAACCTGAATTTATTTGCTTTCGTAGTTAAAATATGTTTCAGCTTAATTCAGACGAATAGTCTAAAACATTCAGAATATGAAACCTGCGCGTTGTTTGCAGTTTTATTTTATTTTCAACAGTAGCGCTCTTTAAACTTGGAACAGCTTCGCCTCGCGCACATATTAGATTTGATAAACTAATTTAACAGCAGCTAGCCTACATGTCATGTTCGTCTGCGCTCATCTCCAGATACTCTTCACTCCAGTGGCAGCAGATCGACATGCCAACAATAACTTACCGAGTTCTACGTAGAGTCTCGTCACTCGTTACGGGTGAAGAGGAAGCCCGACTCGCTGCACACGTAGAGCCCACGTCAGCCCTGATGATGCGCCTGGGAAATGTGAACTATCCAGCCGGAGGCCCCGACAACACACACACACAAACAAACACATGCTGGGCGGAGCCTAGGCGCCAAAAGGCCGCTGTCACTCACCAAATGCCATAAACTGTCCTATTCATTAAAATGAATTTATTTCCATAATGAAGTAATGTATCTGAGACTTTTATAATAAAAATGAATCGAATTTAATAACGAGCAGTGATCCAGACTCATCAGACTTAGCCTACATAAAGATAAATAAATAACTTAAAATCTAAAAATAAAAATATAAAATGTATAATATTTCAGTTATTAAAAATAATCTTAAATGTTTTTAAATAAAATATAAATCACAGTAAGAAGTTTGATGAAGTAGCGCCACCTTGCGCTAGAAGGACGACGTCATTTCTCGGTTGATGTAACATGATGTGTAATGTTACACAGACAGAAAGCTATAAATAAACAGACAAACAGACAGACAGACAGACAGATAGATAGATAGATAGACAGACAGACAGACAGACAGACAGACAGACAGATAGATAGACAGACAGACAGACAGACAGACAGACAGACAGACAGACAGACAGACAGACAGACAGACAGACAGACAGACAGACAGATAGATAGATAGATAGATAGATAGATAGATAGATAGATAGATAGATAGATAGATAGATAGATAGATTTAGTTGTTTGTTGCAAGCGATTGACACTTTGAGGTTGCAATGTAACATGTTGTGCAAAGAACTCACAGGTTAGTGTTGATTGCATTTGTTGTAAACTATTTGCCAAATTTGTTGGACTGGACACCACCTGATAACTGAAAAACAGGAGGAGGCACTGACTATGTCAGCGAAAAGCAGATGCTCATCCATAAATGATGAGTCACTGTAGACTCCACCTCTGGGATAAAAGATAAAACTTCATGGCTTTAAACATGCAGACAGAAACTCACAGGACTGACAGGCAGAGGGTCGGTAGAACGGTTCTCTGCTTCAGTACTTCAGTTCTTTAGTAATGGATCGAGAGCATCTGGTCATCATGCCTCAGACGTAGATCAAAGCATGCGGACCTAATCCTGCAGCTGTTCCTCTAAAGCTTCCCTCAACTGGGTGTGTAGAACTTAATCTGAATCAGGCCCTGAGTGTGTTTTTTGTGTTCCCATGTTTCTATTTTAGTACAGCTTTGTCATACAAGCAGAAAGTTAAATGTGTATACACACAGACACACACACACACACACACACACACACACACACACAATTGTCCGCATGTCTGGAAGCTAATGTCCACATGCTGACACTGACAAATGATAGGAGTGATATTTAAAAATAAAATGAAGCAATAAGTTTAGCCTACAGCATTAAAAAAAAAGGAAATAAAATGACAAAGAAAAGCAAATGGCATTTATTTTATTTTAGAATATGAGTTAAGTTTTAAACATATTTAAACTTAATTCATATTTTAAAATAAACAAAATAATTGAATGAATCAATGCATTTTTAAACAAACAAATAAATAAAAATGATAAATAATTCATAAATAAATAAATAAAATCTAAACATAAAAATGTAAATAAATAAATCACTTTTTAAATGGACAGATTGATACACATATAAAATAATAATAACACAAATAATACGTTTATTTTATATGGCGCCTTTCAGAAAACTCAAGCAAAAGCAAAACTTTACAATAAAGTACAAATGTTATCTATATTAATCTGTCCATATAAAGTGATTTACTTAATTTTTTTCATGTTTAAATTATTAAATTGACTAACTTAATCCTTAATTTTATTTTATTTTCGTTTTATCTCTCCATGCTGGCATACTTGAGTGTTTTATTGTTTTCATAAGTCTTTTCAAGGCCAATTCTAAGTCAAGTCATTATTCTCTCTCAAGTGGGCGTGAAATCTTAAATCCCTGTTAATAGTTATTTATATGCTGCAGGTTCGTTTCATACAACTCTATTATTTCGAGAGGTTGTTAATTGAGCAATAATTGTCTAAAAGACATTATTTGAGGTTTTACTAGAATCTGAAGGTCATTTGATTTTTAAGAGAATGTGATTGCATTTCTGCATCTACTAAATGCGACGACCCCTGACCCTGACTTAAACCTGACCCAACCCAACCCTCACAAATTGATATTAGCATGTTTCACTATATATGTCAGGTCCTAAAACATGTTTTCTAAACTTTTCAAAAGCTGCAAACAACTGAGAAAAAAACAAACAAACAAAGAATGAAAACAACACTTTATGTTGTCATTACAAGTACATGCAGTGACATTTACCACCGCCAGAGGGCGCGAGAAGCTCGTTTTCGTTGCTCCCGAACCGACTGAACACGGCGGGGTTCCCGTACACAGATCCCAAACACTAAACAGGTGGTCATACACCGCTACACAGCGCCCGACCGCCGCGATGAAACTGAACGGGTACCGATTGTAACTTACAGTAACCCGTCAAGGTGCTGAACCAAAGATTATTAATGATCTGGGCATCAGGGCACTGGAGCCTTTGATCCCGAGTTTCCCTTGGATTCGGAAGGTCTAAGGAGAGTTGGAACTATGAAAGTGACGGTGTGTTTTGGAAGAACTCGAGTCGTGGTTCCTTGCGGAGATGGCAACATTAAAGTGCACTGGCTCGTTCAGCAGGCCGCGATGCGGTACAGGAGAGCGATCGCTAAGGTAAGCTGCTGTTTCAGTGTATCATCTGATTGTGCTTTGGAAACATAGTTGCGCCGGTGAGGGCTGCAAATATGGCGGTGTAGAGACGGAGTAAGTGAGCGGGGGAAGGGATTGGGACAGTCCGGACACTTCAACTACACTAAAGAACGGATGTATTCACAAATGAATAACGTTAAGGCTTTATGCGTTTTTACCCTCTTTTAATGCGTTGGGTCGTCTTCTTTGTTCTTTATGCCTACAGCAGATTGCTAGTAACCAGTAAGAAATAGGGCAGAAATGAAGTAGCCTAATATAAGAGAGAGCGAAGTTTACTCCACGTTTCAGATGTTATTGCCCTACTTTGGGACCCTTGAGAAATTACATAATTTACCAGGGTGCAATATCATGTACTTTGACTTTTTGTTTACATGGCGGGTTGCTGCAGCTGACGCGTCCTTATGCTTTTTCTAATGAAAAATAAAATAGTCTTGAACTTTTCTCATGTGAGTTAATGAGAGCTGCTGCTGCTGCTGCTGCAGCTAGGCTAACAGTGATCACTGTGATATGACTTATACACGGTCGGCACCGTTTAAACCTGGTTACAACATTTTTATACTTGGAGAGAGCGACGCGACAAAACCGCAACGCTGTCGTTGAGGAACCAACAAAGCTGTCTGTGTAGCGCGAGACAGAGCCCACTGTCCGCGCGCCTAGTTCTGGACGTTCAGCTTCGTTGATTAAAAAAAGTTTGCGTCTGTTTGGGGCGTTTGAGGTAGCCTAGCTTCTCTCTCTCTCTCTCTCTCTCTCTCTCTCTCTCTCTCTCTCTCTCTCTCTCTCTCTCTCTCTCTCTCTCTCTCTCTCTCTCTACATAGCAAATTTAAAGTTTTTACATACACAAAATGAACAGGGCTTAATAATATCACAAGACATGTCATAGACAAGCAGTGTCAGTCAGACTAATAGAAAATGTTGTTTTATTTTACATAATGGGTTGACCCCCTCATGGATGCTATCATGCTGAAATGGCGTGATTTTTTTTCTTTCTTTCTTAGTTAAAAGTAGGGTAGGCAATTTCTTTTATAACCACTTTTTGTTATACTGGTTGAAACTCTCTTCACGTCCTGATAGCAATCAATAGTAGAAGTGATGTAAATATTAAAACATGTACATTATTTCTTCTGTGGAAGTCCCAGGACCAAATAATTTTCGTCCAATCATTGCATTCGGTCACACATCATCAACGCATTCCTTACGGCTATGCAGAGTTCCTCAGACTCGAATTTATGCGTTTCTGTGTCAACACCATTATATACCATAATTGATTTTCGTTTTTGCCTACCAACGGATATGAAAACAAGATAATCGACGTCGATTATTGTGCCACTGCCGCATTCCGTCTCGTGCACCTTCCTTTCCTGCATATGCAGTGGAACGTGCATAAGCGAACTATACTTAGAGCTTCAGATACACGCAAATACACACAAAATTATGTCAAAATGACGTCTTGACAAGACATTCTGTTAAACACAGTCAGTTTTGGAATGTTAAATAGTTGAGAAAGATAATGAATGTTATGTAACAGTATATTGGATCCGTGCATAAACTCTTAAAGTGACAGCAGTCTAATATTCCTGCTGCGTTCTGTCATGTTAAATCTGTCATCTCTATTATCTCCATTAAATAGACACGCACGCATACACATATACACACCTCTGAATGGATAGAAAAGTCCTCGGGATACCGCATCACTTGCAAGACGCAACTTGGATTGGTTGTCAACAAGGCGAAGTCCACCATTCTTCACTTCTACAAACAACTACAAACAATTTTTACATGTCTGTCATTGGAAAGATCCACGTGGTGTCATGAATAATTAAGAGAGTGTCTTCTCTCATATGAAAACTCAATCTCATTAATAATTATGAGACACCGATGAGTCAACAAACTCGCAGTGCAACGAATCTTCAGCCACGATGAAGATTTTAAACCCATTTTAGTTTTTAAATGTAACCATTTTAACCCTACTATTAAATCTAACAGATGCTAACATTGTCTTCAATGGTGTTCAACACGCATACCTCTGTTAAAATCTCAGAAAATTTGGTTTTGGGATTCATGACCCTTTAATAAAATAAGAAATGACAAAGAAAATCACTCTCTGCTCTTGACTGAATTAGTTTTATAACTTTAATTCAAAGCATTAATTTGTATTTAATCTGTATTTAACTTTGTTGC